CGACCCCCCACCCCCACCCCCAAAAAAAAATTAAGTTTGTTTTTAAAAAATATTTTCAATTTCAACAATTATTTTCTACTCTAGTAAAAATAAAAGAAATTTTTCAAAAACATTTTTCATTCATAAATCAAACACTAAAAATCTTTTTCGAAAAATATTTTCTACTCACCAACCAAACATGAGAAAATAAGTCAAAAATCAACTTGTTTTCCAAGAAAACATTTTCTAGGAAAACATTTTCCATGGAAAACATTTTCCTTCATACCAAACACACCCTTAGTTAATACATGAACTACTTACATTCATGTATGTATATTTCCTAAGTTCTATGAACCATTTTGGATAAAAATGTATCCATTAATTTGGGCATTTATCGTAGTGACTTTTGGATGATTTCTCAATTTATAAATAGGGTTGTCATTCACCATTGTAAGAGAGAATTAATTAATTAAAGACATTTAAATAAGACGATCTCTACATTCTTCTCTTCATATTTCTTGTCTATATTGTTGGTAGTATATTGCTTATATTTTAAGATAAAAATAATAAATTTAATTTTGCCTTAACTATGGAAAATAGGATAACTATGCCCATCCGTTTAATTTTGGTCCCAAAAAAGTCACGGCCGTTACTCAAATAATCCATTTATAACTTTCAAAACTAAAGTACTTTAATTCACAAGTAATTAAAAAGGTCAAAGTACTAAATTTTTTTAAAACTATGCAAAATGAAATAATTCGTTGGTGAAAAATGACAAAAATTGCCTTTAATCCCTTTTAATTATTACACACAGAGATCCATTAATTTTAAGAGTATAAGTGAGCTACTAAATAATAAGGACTTTTATTATGATCAAAATCCAAAGGAGAGTGTAATTGTCTTATTTCTATAAGTTAATAAAAAAAGGAGCAAATTAATCCTTTTCACTGTTTTAAGAGTATCAAATGCTATTTATGTGATTTTGATAATTTAAATTCTAATTAGGCATGGATCCCATGTTAGAATTCATATATTAATTCAATAATATTTAAACTTGAGATACCTTGATTCCAGCTCATTGGTCTTGATTCTTGATTATCTAATTAAATTGTTCTACTACGATGAGAATTAAAATTATTTGAGTGGTAAACACCCTTCATCTCCAACATTAAGGCGTTGAAGTTGTGTGTACGAGTCATCAAAAGAGTAAAAAGATTGGAAACTCTTAGATAGGGATAAAAATAAAGAATAACATTAATTATTTAAGATATTCCGTCTATTTTATTTTAGTTGTCATTTTAACTTTTCTCACGTCTATTAAAAAAGAATACAAGATATACGATACTACAATTGTCCATATTTACATGATGACTTTTGACAATTGAACTATATTAAAAGAACTACGTTTTTAACTTTAAAATTGGAAACTATTACTAACTTAAGTTTTGGTTTTTTTTAAAGTGATATTTATTCTGTTCAATCGAACAAGTCTAGAAGCAATTTATATATTTTTCCTAAGTATTATATTGAAAGATTACCACGTGATTTCTTAACTATGCGCTTCTATTTTTTTTTAATTATTCTAAAGAAAGAACAAAGACAAGCTTGCTTTTGTATCTTAATTAAAATATTGATTATGAAAAATGAAAAGAGCATCTAAGTTAGAATAAAATATATTCCCCAATAAGATGGATTAGAGTAAACATTACTCTTTTTACAAGTATGTGTATGTTCACATTGTAAAGTAAAAAGGAATTGTTGTAATAAAATGTATTAAGAAATAAACGTGCAAATTTCATTACCTTATAGGCTTATACTCTCTCCCTCTTATATTACTTGTTAGTTGTTAATATGAGTCAAAATATTCTTCCTAAAGTATTTGTTAAATTACAAAATTAAAATAAAATCAATTTTAAAAAAAGATAGATTATACCTTTTAATATTAGCTATTTTTTAAAGTAAATAATATTAATCACCAAAATTATAACTTAGAACTTAATGGATTCAGAATTTTTAGTCTATTAAGTTATTATGATTTTTTTAAACTATACAATTATATATATTTAATAAAAAATTTAAAATAAATATAAAATTTGAACTAAAATTATTAAGATCAAGTGAACTTGACTCCGTTAATCACAACGCATAATAAATAGGGAAAAGCGTCAAAATGCCTTTAAACTATGTGAAAGGAAGAAAAATCCCCTCCGTTTATAGTTTGGCTAAAAAATGCCTTTATCGTCAATACTTTAGCTCAAAAATGTCATTGCAGTCAATACTTTGGTGCAGAAATGCCCATATAGTTACAAAATGGGTCAAAAATTCCCTTTTCCAAATAAATATATATATTTTTTCTCTTTAAACACATCTTCTTCCTAATTAAAATATTATTAAAGAACATTATTCTTGTTTTCTTTCTTCTAAAATTACTATAACAAATAAAAATGTAGGAAATATTTTTTTTCTTCTTAATCTCATTTTATCAATTAAAATAGAATAACTTCATGTACCCTTTCGACAACTAATATATATCATATATATAAGATCATAGTATATCCATCATTAATTTATATTTATATAACGATAAAAAATAATGATAATAAAATAAGAATTTTTTTATTTTTTTTATGAATTGAAGTAAGATAAACATTTGCTAATTTTTTAAAAAAACATTAATTGAAAAAGAAGTGTCAAAAAGAAAATAATAATATATTTATTTAGAAAATGAGCATTTTTGACCCATTAAATGACAATAAGGGCATTTTTGGACCAAAGTATTGACGGCAAGAGCATTTTT